GAAGTAAGTATATACTCTGACATCACTGTAGGGTTAGCTCGGAAAGTTTTAATATCAATATATCTTTTAACAAGAGACGCAAGAAAAAATGTCCAGTCCATTGCTCTACTCAATTTGTCGCTACACCACTCAGTCCCCTGTTTCACTACGCCCCTGAGTTCGTCTCTTCACCACTCAGTCCGCTGCTCCACCGCGCCCCTCGATTTGTCGCTACACCACTCAGTCCGCTGCTCAACCGCGCCCCTCAGTTCGTCGCTACATCACTCAGTCCGCCGTTTCACCGCGCCCCTCAGTTCGTCACTTCACCACTCAGTCCGATGCTCCAACGCGCCCCACAATTTGTCGCTACACCACTCAGTCCGTTGTTTCACCGCGTCCCTCAATTTGTCGCTGCACCACTCAGTCCGCTGTTTCACTACGCCCCTCAGTTCGTCTCTTCACCACTCAGTCCGCTGCTCCACCGCGCCCCACAATTTGTCGCTACACCACTCAGTCCGCTGTTTCACCGCGCCCCTCAGTTCGTCGCTACATCACTCAGTCCGCCGTTTCACCGCGCCCCACAATTTGTCGCTACAACACTCAGTCCGCTGCTCTACCGCGCCCCTCAATTTTTCGCTACACCACTCAGTCCGCTGCTCTACCGCGCACCTCAATTTGTCGCTACACCACTCAGTCGGCTGCTCTACCGCGCCCCTCAATTTGTCGCTATACCATTCAGTCCGCTGCTCTACCGCGCACCTCAATTTGTTGCTATACCACTCAGTCCGCTGCTCTACCGCGCCCCTCAATTTGTCGCTATACCACTCAGTCCGCTGCTCAACCGAGCCCCTCTGCTCGTCGCTACATCACTCAGTCCGTCGTTTCACCGCGCCCCACAATTTGTCGTTACACTACTCAGTCCGCTGCTCTACCGCGCCCCTCAATTTTTCGCTACACCACTCAGTCCGCTGCTCTACCGCGCCCCTCAATTTGTCGCTATACCACTCAGTCCGCTGCTCTACCGCACCCCTCAATTTGTCGCTACACCACTCAGTCCGCTGCTCTACCGCGCCCCTCAATTTGTCGCTATACAACTCAGTCCGCTGCTCTACCGCGCCCCTCAATTTGTCGCTATACCACTCAGTCCGCTGCTCAACCGAGCCCCTCTGCTCGTCGCTACATCACTCAGTCCGTCGTTTCACCGCGCCCCACAATTTGTCGTTACACTACTCAGTCCGCTGCTCTACCGCGCCCCTCAATTTTTCGCTACACCACTCAGTCCGCTGCTCTACCGCGCCCCTCAATTTGTCGCTATACCACTCAGTCCGCTGCTCTACCGCACCCCTCAATTTGTCGCTACACCACTCAGTCCGCTGCTCTACCGCGCCCCTCAATTTGTCGCTATACAACTCAGTCCGCTGCTCTACCGCGCCCCTCAATTTGTCGCTATACCACTCATTCCGCTGCTCTACCGCGCCCCTCAATTTGTCGCTACACCACTCAGTCCGCTGCTCTACCGCGCCCCTCAATTTTTCGCTATACCACTCAGTCCGCTGCTCTACCGCGCCCCTCAATTTGTCGCTATACAACTCAGTCCGCTGCTCTACCGCGCCCCTCAATTTGTCGCTATACCACTCAGTCCGCTGCTCTACCGCGCCCCTCAATTTGTCGCTACACCACTCAGTCCGCTGCTGTACCGCACCCCTCAATTTGTCGCTACACCACTCAGTCCGCTGCTCAACCGAGCCCCTCTGCTCGTCGCTACATCACTCAGTCCGTCGTTTCACCGCGCCCCACAATTTGTCGTTACACTACTCAGTCCGCTGCTCTACCGCGCCCCTCAATTTTTCGCTACACCACTCAGTCCGCTGCTCTACCGCGCACCTCAATTTGTCGCTATACCACTCAGTCCGCTGCTCTACCGCACCCCTCAATTTGTCGCTACACCACTCAGTCCGCTGCTCTACCGCGCCCCTCAATTTGTCGCTACACCACTCAGTCCGCTGCTCTACCGCGCCCCTCAATTTGTCGCTATACCACTCAGTCCGCTGCTCTACCGCGCCCCTCAATTTGTCGTTATACAACTCAGTCCGCTGCTCTACCGCGCCCCTCAATTTGTCGCTATACCACTTAGTCCGCTGCTCTACCGCACCCCTCAATTTGTCGCTATACCACTCAGTCCGCTGCTCTACCGCGCCCCTCAATTTGTCGCTACACCACTCAGTCCGCTGCTCTACCGCGCCCCTCAATTTGTCGCTACACCACTCAGTCCGCTGCTCTACCGCGCACCTCAATTTGTCGCTATACAACTCAGTCCGCTGCTCTACCGCGCCCCTCAATTTGTCGCTATACCACTCAGTCCGCTGCTCTACCGCGCCCCTCAATTTGTCGCTATACCACTCAGTCCGCTGCTCTACCGCGCCCCTCAATTTGTCGCTATACCACTCAGTCCGCTGTCGCTATACCACTCACCGCGCCCTACCGCGCCCCTCAATTTGTCGCTATACCACTCAGTCCGCTGCTCTACCGCGCCCCTCAATTTGTCGCTACACCACTCAGTCCGCTGCTCTACCGCGCCCCTCAATTTTTCGCTATACCACTCAGTCCGCTGCTCTACCGCGCCCCTCAGTTTGTCGCTATACAACTCAGTCCGCTGCTCTACCGCGCCCCTCAATTTGTCGCTATACCACTCAGTCCGCTGCTCTACCGCGCCCCTCAATTTGTCGCTACACCACTCAGTCCGCTGCTCTACCGCGCCCCTCAATTTGTCGCTACACCACTCAGTCCGCTGCTCCACCGCGCCCTCGGCACGCCTGAAGACCGCATGTGTACACGCTGATTTAAAAATTCCGATGGCCTTAAGTGAGTTCCTGGTGTCGTGTTGGTATAGTGTATAGTTGTGTAACATCTTGTAACTCCCGTAATCCCAGACGGCGCGTGAGCACGCAACATTACGTCACAGGCGTACATGTTTACTTGGTCAGCCTTTTATTGCTAAACAAGCTCGCCGTGACGTCAGGTATTTATAGATAAGTAAATAAACTTTAATACACAGTGGTTAACGTCAGATAAATACCTCGTTCTGAAATATGTCTCATGCTAAACTTGTCAGGAGGCTTGGTACATTAAACCTAACCTGCAGCCTATCGCATTTCAATCATTTTCCTTTTTTGACAATATATTCAATGGTGAAAGGATTAAAATTGATTACGCATAAACAATGGTTAATTGGTAAGATTTTGGTAGTTTCTGATCTCTCGTCTTCCAATCACCTAACGGTCAGAATGAAAGGGTCAGCCACCGTTCACACTCCGAACTTTCACACCTCCTTAACAGGAGCGTCGCCCCTTGCGATAAGTGGTAGCTTTCGTGTTAATTTCCGATAAATGGTGTCAGTGTTTCTTTCAGACATAGCAACGGAGAATACCAACACAATGATCGAAAATGTTTGGAAAGAAAATAAATACGAAACCAAGAATCAGAGAAAGATAAATTGGCTTTCTACAATGGACGTAATCGTTATTGGTCATGAAATTGATCAATATTGAACACAATCACCCAACTTCTCAATGACAAAGATATGTTTTAATATTTTAATACATAATTACAGGGAAATAATGCTTTTGCATTAGCAGTAATGAAAAGTCGCTCGCTTGGAAATGATATTAATAAAGAAAAGACGTGCTTCCGGAAATATGTATTTTTTAAAAGTGCTTCCGGAAATGGTATCAGTAAAGAATAAACGCTCGTCCGACGATGATATCAATCAGAGTAAAAAAAGGACGATGTAACGGAAATGATATAAGTAAAGAAAAGACGTGGTTCCGGAAATGATGTTAGTAAAGAAAAGACATGCTTCCGGAAATTATATTAGTAAAGAAAAGACGTGGTTCCGGAAATGATATTAGTAAAGAAAAAACGTGGTTCCGGAAATGATATTAGTAAAGGAAAGTCGTGCTTTTGGAAGTGACATTAGAAAAAAAGACGTGCTTCCGCAAAGGATATTACTAAAAAGAAAAAAAACGTGTATTCTGAAATGATTTCATAAAAAGAGAGACATGCTTCCGGAAATGATATTAGTGTAAATAAAACAACAAAACAAAAGATGAAAGAAAGACGTGAGTCCGGAAATGATATAAATCGCAGTTAAGAAGTTATTACTATCAACCTAATTGTAAATATGTTTTTCAAATGTAAGGAGTCGAATTTCTTGATTTACAACGAAAATGTAACATCCTTTACCGACTACACATTTTAAACACAACAAATGAGAAGGAAACAGGTTATAATTAGCCAGAGTTAACAGAATGTGTCTGGCATAAGTTATCCTATATCTAAAGTGAGGGTTACTGGTGTGGTATCAAGTCACGCGGCAGTATTGTGAAACATTATCATAAAATTGTCTCTAGTTCGCTATTTTATCCACAGCTTGAAAGCAGTTAATCCTATTTATCATCCTCACGGTCTATGGTTCATTTCAGTTTTATAAAGCTTTTTTTTCTTACAGTTGTTGGTTTTTTTTTAAAATTATTATTGAGCTATCCATTAGTCGTTGTTAAATCTTGCGACACGATCGAAAACAGTCTTGTCTGTATTTCATTGTAAACTTAAGAAAACAGGATTTTTTAAACTCTCATTCATCCTTATCCAACCTAGAATTGTTCTATAATAAAGCACACAACTGTAAGAGTTGTCACACTTTAGTTAAGCTCTTTTAATTAGCCTTTGTAATTGGACGGATTAGGGATCGGAGAATTGATCTCCCTTATCAAAAGATTAAACTCCTTGACACACTGTTATTATGAATATTTATGAGCAAGTTGGTGTGTATATAATAGCCACGTGCTCTCGTGAATACACACTTTACCAGTTTAAACGTCGTACGTTCGTATATTGGCCTATATTAGCAAGCAACAAAAACTGCTCTGTGTACATTTAACTCATAATTTTAGAACAAATCTAAGTATTTTTCCCAACAAAACAGACTAAATGGAATTGTCCCTTTTGTGTTCATGACTGCAGAAGTTTAATTGCCTGTTAAGTTTTACCGAGCGACTTGCTGTGTGTGGTGTTCGCTTGTTTGGCTTTGAGACGCCCCCTGAAGGATCAGAGCCGTGTTGGTTTCTCATTCCGTGACAGACAGCCGGGCCGTTGAGAAGGAAGGCTACCAGTACGCAGGAAATTACCGTGCCCCCTCCCCGAGTTTGCAGTGTCGTGTCCCAGGCAGGCAAGTTTGGAACGTGTATCCTCACGGAGATTTTATCAGTCTCAAAGCGGAGTGGAATTTCAAAAAATAAAAAAGTTGCGGTTTTCTCTCGTTCATCACTTTGTGAATTTTGCTAAATAGAGCGTTTTCAGGATTAACAAAACTTATGAAAAAGTGAGAAACGCTAGAGAAAGCAGCCATATTCTTATAGCATCGGAAGTACTTATATAAACGTTAAACATGGAATCCTTTGTAAATATTTTGTGTTTGGTTGTGATCCTGTGTGCACTGTCTTTTTGCGAGGGGGCTTACGGGGGTTGTAAGGAGGCTGGCTTTTGTTGCGACGGAAAAAACATCACATGTCACGTCGTTATGGGCAACCCACGGTTTCCAAGGAGATGTTACTGTGACAGTTACTGCCAGGAAACCAATGACTGTTGTCCTGACTACACATCCCATTGTAAAGACGGCAAGGATAAAGGTCAGTTGATATTCTATAATATATTAAAACATGTTCTTATTATGTAAAATCAGTATGATTTTTTCCCAGTCAATATCAGAGTATTTGTAGATGTGATGGTTCCGTTAGACTGGGTATAATTAAAGTAAGTAAGGAAATCCTGTCACGTCCAATTTTCCACTTAAATCTAATTATTACTAATTAAATGGTGTAAAAACCGAACATTGAACTCAGTCATCGAAATATGAAGATTTTCAATGCAAATCTAAAGTATGTATTTTAAAGGAACGACAACATAACTATACATTGGTTCATAGACTACTGAACCCATTAGGACTCAGATTTAGTTCAGTCAAATTCCTCTGGGGAAGATTTATATATATACGGTACAAATGATTTCTTTGGATTTAATGTATTTGATACAGAATTAGGAAATATGTTAGATATTTTCATAAAATGTTTCAAATGTGGTCAGATTCAAGACACCAGAGGAACTGGACCCCGCTTTTGAAAATATTATGTATTATAGTAATCACATTTGAAGTTTCCTTAAGGTCCAAATTCTCCACTCTTCAGTGTTCAGGAGCCATGTTTGAAAAAAACCCTCAAATTGTGTGTAAATTTTGGTTAGCCTGTGGGGAGCCCCTGACCAGAAGTGGTCCCCCCTGTGGAGCCTGTACCAATAATGAACCCTCACAGATGTGTACAACATTTCCTCTAGTGTAAGCTGACTACAGATAGAAGGCTCCTACACTAAGTCTCCCTGGGGAGCTAGCCTCCCCTAGTATATATACTTAGGGTAAGTTTTGCCTGTCTTTAGTGTATACAAATCTATCCAAGTTGGGTTCCAGCCAAGAGTTTCAACATTTCTCAGTTCTCAAACAGTTCAGATTCCAGAAAATCATAATTGTGTCCTTTAGAATAAAAGTTTGACCAGAAATAAAACACTACTTTTATCGTCTCGCATCCTGCTACTTAAAACTGAGTTTGTAGTGTTATTAAATATGCTGAATGTAATACAAGTGTCATCTAGACTTTGGTTTATTGGTGGGAATTCTGAAGTATATCAAAATTTTGTTACCGAGCTCCCTCTCTAAGCTTCACTAGAGTATTAGCCAACTTTACATAGATGGATATGAAGATGACATAGATGAAACATTATTAAGAATATGTCATACTTTCATACCCTCTCCTGTTCAATCAACGGCTCCAATATGGCGTTGCTTGTGTTTGAAGTGAACTGTTTAGTTATTAATGAAACTTAATATGTGAAGTAGTGTGTGATCTATCAGATGAGGAGAAGTTTGAAGACAAAAGATTCTCAGTCAGTGCTGGCTCAGATTAGTTAACATATATAACTTCAAATACAGTCTTTTATAAAACTGGACCCGATGAAAGGATCTAAGTTTTGAAATCCAAGACTTTTTTTTGGAAACCTTGTGTCATAGTAAGATGTATTCTGACATAATATTTATTCTATTGCCACCTTTGTCACACGTAAGGACTGCCCTGTTCATCCAGGGACCTCTTTATAAGCTACATCAAAACCAAAGATATGTAATTTTGATTTGTTGTAAACCTAAAAAAGACAACATCAGGTGTACTGAAACCAAAGCACATCACTAGTACTGAAACCAAAGCACATCACTAGTACTGAAACCAAAGCACATCAGGTGTACTGACACCAAAGCGCAGGTGTACTGAAACCAAAGCACATCAGGTGTACTGACACCAAAGCACATCACTAGTACTGAAACCAAAGCACATCAGGTGTACTGACACCAAAGCGCAGGTGTACTGAAACCAAAGCACAGGTGTACTGTAACCAAAGCACATCAGGTGTACTGACACCAAAACACACCAGGTGTACTGAAACCAAAGCACAGGTGTACTGAAACCAAAGCACATCAGGTGTACTGACACCAAAGCGCAGGTGTACTGAAACCAAAGCACAGGTGTACTGACACCAAAGCACACCAGGTGTACTGAAACCAAAGCACACCAGGTGTACTGACACCAAAACACACCAGGTGTACTGAACCAAAGCACAGGTGTACTGAAACCAAAGCACATCAGGTGTACTGACACCAAAACACACCAGGTGTACTGAAACCAAAGCACAGGTGTACTGAAACCAAAGCACATCAGGTGTACTGACACCAAGACACACCAGGTGTACTGAAACCAAAGCAAACCAGGTTTACTGAAACCAAAGTACATCACGTGTACTGAAACCAAAGTACACCAGGTGTACTGAAACAAAGCATAGGTGTGCTGAAACCAAAGCACATCACGTGTACTGAAACCAAAGTACACCAGGTGTACTGAAACCAAAGCACAGGTGTACTAAAACCAAAGCACAGGTGTAATGAAACCAAAGCACACCAGGTGTACTGACACCAAAGCACATCAGGTGTACTGACACCAAAGCACACCAGGTGTACTGAAACCAAAGCACAAGTGTACTGAAACCAAAGCACAGGTGTACTGAAACCAAAGCACATCACGTGTACTGAAACCAAAGCACACCAGGTGTACTGAAACCAAAGCACAGGTGTACTGTAACCAAAGCACACCAGATGTACTGACACCAAAGCACATCACGTGTACTGAAACCAAAGTACACCAGGTGTACTGAAACCAAAGCACAGGTGAACTGAAACCAAAGTACACCAGGTGTACTGACACCAAAACACATCACGTGTACTGACACCAAAACACATCACGTGCACTGACACCAAAGCACATCACGTGCACTGACACCAAAGCACACCAGGTGTACTGAAACCAAAGCACACCAGGTGTAAATTTTGCCATATTTCTAACTTAGATGGATGGAAACGATTCCATTTGCTATCTGGCCTGGTAATAAGTTTTCTTGTTATAGTTTGTTAAAATCAGATCATCAGGTTCCCAATCCATTTTCATCACGAAATCCTAATAACAATTGAAAGCCTGTGGTTCTTGACTCAAATTCAGAACTTGAAAGTGTAATGTCAGTTCTATGAAAAAAGATAATTTATTTACTTTGTTTCGCCTCTGGTCATTGTGATCACCAAAGGATATTTATATAGATGAGATAAGATCTTGGTTCAGTAAAAAAGATTTCTTATTAAAACATAATAGGTTTTTAATGCTATAAACAGCTGAATCTTTTTTCCATTGACTGTAAATTGCAAATTTGCAAAATTCTTTCGACCCATATCTCTCTGGATCCACCTTTGAAGTTTCTGTCACAGAAATGTACATTGTATATATTTATGAGGTAGGCAGGACTTACATGTGGGATGTGTGTATGTTCCACTCCTATATATATATGTAGGTATTTATGAGGTATAGAGGCAGGACTTGCATGTGGGATGTGTTGGACTGTTTACACAACATAAACAAAGCTAATCTTATCATCAAGCCTATTTCTCACTTTATTTTGTTGACACAGAAGACAGACTTCAAAGAGTGGACACTGACAGTGTTGGTTTACAAAGATAAAATACAAACCGGCCAGCTAGGTACACCTGGACAACAGGGGGCTAAAGCAGACTTAATTATTTTAAATGGATAAGAATTAACTGCTTCATTGTGTTGGAATTACATTGTAAATCCTCAGGTGTTAACCTGACTTTGCAATCCACTGGCTTTTTGTGAAATACAGAAAATATAGAACCAGGATCTCAAGGTTTTCACAACCAAATTTGTAAATTTGATAGTAGATTAACAGGATGTGTAAATATACAACTTGATAATATAGAACTCTAAACTATTTTGTTGTTATATACAGTATCTGTCACCAAGCTGATAGGTCAGTGGGACTTGTACAAAGTGTTAAATACAGTCTCTGTCACCAGGCTGATAGGTCAGTGTGACTTGTACAAAGTGTTAAATACAGTATCTGTCACCAGGCTGACAGGTCAGTGTGACTTGTACAAAGTGTTATATACAGTATCTGTCACCAAACTGACAGGTCAGTGTGACTTGTACAAAGTGTTAAATACAGTATCTGTCACCAGGCTGATAGGTCAGTGTGACTTGTACAAAGTGTTATATACAGTCTCTGTCACCAGGCTGATAGGTCAGTGTGACTTGTACAAAGTGTTATATACAGTCTCTGTCACCAGGCTGATAGGTCAGTGTGACTTGTACAAAGTGTTATATACAGTCTCTGTCACCAGGCTGATAGGTCAGTGTGACTTGTACAAAGTGTTATATACAGTCTCTGTCACCAGGCTGATAGGTCAGTGTGACTTGTACAAAGTGTTATATACAGTCTCTGTCACCAGGCTGACAGGTCAGTGTGACTTGTACAAAGTGTTATATACAGTCTCTGTCTCCAGGCTGACAGGTCAGTGTGACTTGTACAAAGTGTTAAATACAGTCTCTGTCACCAGGCTGACAGGTCAGTGTGACTTGTACAAAGTGTTATATACAGTCTCTGTCACCAGGCTGATAGGTCAGTGGGACTTGTACAAAGTGTTAAATACAGTCTCTGTCACCAGGCTGATAGGTCAGTGTGACTTGTACAAAGTGTTAAATACAGTATCTGTCACCAAACTGACAGGTCAGTGTGACTTGTACAAAGTGTTATATACAGTATCTGTCACCAAGCTGACAGGTCAGTGTGACTTGTACAAAGTGTTAAATACAGTATCTGTCACCAAGCTGACAGGTCAGTGTGACTTGTACAAAGTGTTAAATACAGTCTCTGTCACCAGGCTGACAGGTCAGTGTGACTTGTACAAAGTGTTAAATACAGTCTCTGTCACCAAGCTGACAGGTCAGTGTGACTTGTACAAAGTGTTAAATACAGTCTCTGTCACCAGGCTGACAGGTCAGTGTGACTTGTACAAAGTGTTAAATACAGTCTCTGTCACCAGGCTGACAGGTCAGTGTGACTTGTACAAAGTGTTAAATACAGTCTCTGTCACCAGGCTGATAGGTCAGTGGGACTTGTACAAAGTGTTAAATACAGTCTCTGTCACCAGGCTGATAGGTCAGTGTGACTTGTACAAAGTGTTAAATACAGT